TTGAGAATAACTATCACAAATGATTTTTTTAAAAAAGAGGTTTTAAGATTCAGCAGTAACTTGGAAAGACTTGTGAATGTTAATTTCAGTCAAAAGTCTGGGAACCTTCCACAGACTAATTCAAACCTTGCCACCATCAGTATCACAACAATATATCTGAAGGCCATATATTAAGACAACAGCCTCCAGATATTTTCTTTCACCATGAGCCACAAAATAAAATACATTTTATATCATTATCAAGTACAAACCTGTTTCATAAAAATACTAACTTTTAGTATATCCAATTCACTTGCACTTTCTATCTTTGTCTATTTCATCTTTTAAAAGTTACCATCATAACTCATAAAATTGATTTCATGACTCTATTAATGGGTTTCAACTCACAGTACAAAATGCTTGCACTGAGAGTAGTACTGATCTGTTGCTTATCACATATTTCTGAAGTTTTCTACTTACATAAACACCAGTTTTCTGTACTTTCAGTTCCCTGATTGACTTTTTCATCTAGAGATCTTTTCTTCCACCTTTAAAAAATTAGCTGCAAATGGAGATGGACACAATAACTTCATTTTATTTATTTATTTTTATGCAGTGCTGAGGATCAAACCCAGTGCCTCATATGAGCTAGGAAAGTGCTCTGCCACTGAGCTGCAACCCCAGCTCCTTCTTAGACCTTATTTAAGCTACCCTGCTCCATGGTCAGATTCTAGACCTTTTAACTATAATGATACCACTTCCAAAATCTCATTTTCCTTCATTCTACTCTGAGATCCATATCTTCAATGACTCTTTGGATTATGACCACTAATAATTTTTTTTATTGCATAGCCATTCTGTCCACCTCACCATCTTTGTCTACCATTCTCCTATGCCTTTTCATGTATTTATAGAGCTTAGACTCCATAATCCATTGCATAATTATCTCTTGACTATGTCTTCAACTCCCTTGAGAGTCTCCTCCTTTGTCATACTTCCTTGGGAAACCACTAACCCTAGTTAAATCCAATTAACTCATTTCCCTTCTCAGTCAATTCAGTACTGAAGCCACTAGGTGAAATAAAGCAAGTGAAAGGAAGGTATCCACAGTAGAAGGGGTAGCTCTGATAGCTTGGAATGGAGTGGAGTGTAAGTGCCCCAACAGGATGAAGAAGGCATCTACCCAAAGGGCATACTTTTCTGTATCAGAGTCTAAGGGGTTAGAAAAGCACACAAGTTGTGGAATATCAGACCTTGAATATAATGATCAGGTTATTCTAGACTCAGAGAGGAAACTTACAGAGAGACTCAGAACCTGAGTGTATTCCATGAGTTGTAAAGGAGGTAGCCATGTTGGGGGCTGGTGTAGCATAGGATATTAAACCAAAGCAAAATTAAGTGGCTTGAGAATCAGAGCCCAAGACACGGAATGTGAAGTCAAAAAAGGTTGAAGTATTTTAGTCTGTTTGGGTTACTATAACAAAATACCATAACCTGGGTTGCTTAAGAACAACAAATTTATTTTCACAGTTCTGGAGACTAAAAAGTCCAAGACCAAGGTGCCAACAGATTCAGTGTCTGGTTGTAGTCCACTTACTGGATCATAGGTCATCTTTTCTCTGTAACCTCACATGATGTAAAGGGAAAAGGAATTCTCTAGGTTCTCTTTTATAAGGGTACTAATACCATTCATGAGGAATCTGCCCTCATAATATGATGACTTCCTAAAAGCCCTGCACTCTAATATCCTCACATTGGTGACTAGGCTTCAATGTATGAATTTGTGAGAACACAAATATTCATACCATAGCAGTTAGGATGGCATGCATACAGGGAAGGTATCTGAGAATGGGGAATCAATTCCTGAGCAAGAAATATTTTAAAAGTTATTTGAAATATACATCCAACTTTCCCTAAATCTGTGATTGCTTCATAATTTTAAGAATAAAAACAAAAGTCCATAAAGCCATGGTGATTTGGTTTCAGCCTAAAGTGGTTGATTACTGCTGTACCCTAGTTGGTCTACTCTCCTCTACTTCTTGAGATTGCTGTTCCATATCTTCTCTTTCTTCAAATTTTCGATTATTTAAAACAGTGTCCCCTTCTTACTCTCAGTTTCTGGTTTCAGAGAAAACAAAAGCTATCAAAAGATAACTTTTGGGGGACTGGGGATGTGGCTCAAGCGGTAGCACGCTCGCCTGGCATGCGTGCGGCCCAGGTTCGATCCTCAGCACCACATACAAACAAAGATGTGTCCGCCGAAAACCAAAAAATAAATATTAAAATTCTCTCTCTCTCTCTCTCTCTCTCTCTCTCTCTCTCTCTCTCTCTCTCTCTCTCTCTCTCTCCCCCCCCTCACTCTCTCTTAAAAAAAAAAAAAAAGATAACTTTCTCATGTTTTCAGAAAAAGGTTTGCCATTCTACCTATGCTGAATTTTATCACTCCTGGCCTGTTATACAGCTTGCTGCTCCTTTTCCCAAGATCAACCCTTTCATGTTACACTAGATCACATTCTTCTCACTCTTGTATCAAGAATACTTCTCTCTCTACTAGATAACTTCCACCACCACACAGACACATTCTACTATCTCTCATTTAAATAAACAAAAACTCTTTAGTGCCTATCCATATCTTTGCTTCCCTTCATATAAAATTAGTCCAAAGAATTATCACCTCAATTATCACTCTCTTGAACTTATTCCAATCAATATTTTGATTTCAAGACTCCACTGAGATCTTTTTCGCTAAAGTCTCCAATAATCTCCATATTATCATAATCTATATTTAATTCTTAGTCCTCATCTTACTTGATGTCTCAGAAACATTTGTGCAATTGATCACTCCCTTATTCTGGAAATGCTTATTTCACATAGCTTTTATAACAATAAATTATTCTTATTTTTTCCTAAATTACTAATTGCTCATTTTGTTTTCCTTCACTAGATACTTCCTGACTGTGAATGTTAGAATTTGTCAAGATTCATCCTTAGACTTTATTTGTACTCACTCCTTAAGTAATTTTATGAAATCTCATGGCTGTAAATACCATTTATATTATGACTACTCTCAAATTTATATTTCCATCTCTGAAATCCAAACTTGTAAATCTATTTGTATGTAGCCATAATCATTTGAATTATCTCAAATTTAATACATCTATAACGTAACGTAATGCTTAATTCCCAGCCTCAGTCCCATCAAACCTGGTCCTCCCCAATTACCTCCCTTTTCAGTTGATGGTATCACCATTTAATTTGTTGCTCAGCTCTGTCTAAAATCCTTGGAACCACCCGTGATTTTTCTCACTCCCAAAATGTGATCCATCAGCAAATTTTGTTGCTCATCCTTTAAAATGTGTGCAGAAAAAGGATGGTATAGATTCACTTTTCCATCTTCCTCCCCTCTAAGTACAACTAAATATTCTGAAAAACAACTGAACCCACAAGATAAAAATTACTCTGAAATATGAAAATAAGGTAATTAGGAACCCCATAATTTGATGGGAAAATATCATGAGTTCCCTGAGTTTTCTGTATCTCTAAATTTTCCACACTAGGTACTGAGAAAGGACTGCAATCCCAACCAACCAACAGACATAAATAAAAACAACAATAAAAAAGTAAAACCTGATTTCTCTGGCCTAACTACTGGAAAGCCTCAACCCTTGCTCCAAAACTGAAACACCTGAGGATAACCTGTTTTGCTCAGAGAGGCAGGCCCATGGCACAAGTCTCTGGCTGAGCCAACCTCTGTTCCACAAACTGGAGGCTAATTGGTGTGCCGATCTACCTACAGATGGGCTATCATAACTTCTGAAATATAATCAGGACACTGGCAGCTCATGGGGGATCAGTAAAGCTTCAGGAGGCTAATCCAACCCTGGCTCAATACCTGTGGTGTTTGCAGACTGGCCCACCTACATTGGAAACAGCAAAGTTCTGAACTCATCCAATTTCCATCCTATATCCAGAACATCACCATCTTCTGGTCCTCCATCTAGTGACATAAGAAAAACTAGTTCCAGGGCTTATGCCCCAAATACAGTACAATAAGGTGTCCTAATGGCACCAGCTAGCCCAGGATAGTGCTTTATGCCCAAGCAGGTGGCACAAATAAAGAATAAGAAAGAGTATCAAAAGAAAAAAAAAAAAAAAAACAACAGATCAGAGTACCACTGAAAGAGGTCAACAAAAACTGAAACCCAAAACAGAATGTCAGGGCCTGTATTCTCAACCGAAAATGGACTATTGTCTGCTAAAACAGAAGACTTAAATAGGATCAAGAGATTCCTAAAATACTAACAAAAATGTCCAGGATTCAATAGAAATCACTCTTCATACCAAGAATATACAAACTGTATGAGGAAATACAATTAACTGAACATCAATACCTAGATAAATTCAGGGATTTTCAAAGCCACTTTCATAAAAATGCTTCAACAAGCAATTAAAAATTATCTTGAAAAATGGAAAAAAAACCCAGAAATCGGGAGATAGTTTTCCAAAAAAGAACCAAATACAAATTAAGGAACTGAAAAAATACAATAGCCATTTTTTAAGTTGCAAGATGAATTCAATACCAGAATAGAGAAGAAAAAGAACAGAATCAGTGAAGAACTTACCCAGTCTTAACAAAGAGTGAAAATAGCATGAATTTATTTTTTTTAAAAGAGAGCCATAGGCATCTATGGAGCCATAATAAGAGATCTATCATCTGTTCCTGTCATCAGAGTTTTAAAAAGGCGGGGGGAGAGGGATGAGAAATAATGCATTCAAAGATCAATGGGAATGGAGAGAACAAACAAAAAGCAAATAACAAAATGGAGACTGTTAATGTTAGCAAGATGGGAGAATAGAAAGCCTAAGACCTTCCTTTCTCCAATAAACACACCAATTCAACAATAAATACATCGACTAATTCACATCAAAAGAAATCCTGATGCCAGTTAATAGGCTCCTGCATCCCAGGCAAGCATGAAACCAGCCACATAGATACCTGGAAGAAAATCTGTAGTACTTACTTGCCATGGTCTCTTCACCCAACTCAGCACAATGAAGTCAGGAGAAAACTCAATTCTTGGCTTCTCTCTGGAAATAAAGAAAGAAGACTGAAATACATAGCCAACATTCTTTTTTTTTTTTTTTGGTCAGAGGCTAAGGAACTGAGTTATATCTTGCCTGAATCTGAGCACTGTTGGGAAGGGTTTAGGGGCCACTGAGAATAAGGGTAAAGGCCTAGACTAGAATGCACTCACTCACCATGGTACTCCTACCCCGATTTCAGCATGGAACAAAAGGGTGAAAATTCTCAGTTCTTAGACTCTCCTTTGGGAGGGAAAGAATCAGAGCATGTATCCAACATACTATCTTTTGGGGGAGCCACCCAAGGTGCTAGATTATGTCTCACCTGTCCAAAGGCTGACAGAACCCAGCATACTCTCACTGTCTTGGGGCCACTGAGAATACAACAGATCAGGATGGGTTGACTTGCTGCTGCTCCACAGAACATACAGTAGAATAGACAGTTTAGTATAGCTCAGTAGTCTCTACCTCAGGGTGAGAGGGAGAAGAGTGGAGTGGGTGTCCCATATGCTAATTTTAAGGGGGCTCTCCAAAGGATTGGTTTCTTTTTCACCAGATTCAAAGAACTAATGAGACCCAGCATAGTCTACAAGCTTAAGGGTTACTAAGAACTAAAGGGAGAGAGGTGGCCTATTGCTATTCTGCCCCAAAAGGATATGTAGTACTGCAGACTAACACAACAAGGAGGCAAGATATTATGAGCTGAAAAAAGGAACTACCAAACTCTTCTAATCAGTAACTTGCAAACTCAAGTTCAAAGAAGAAAAGGTCTAAAAAAATGTCCTATCTCTAACCAGACTGATAGGTGAAAGTCTTTCCCCATATGAATCGAGTCAATGAACATTTAGAGAAGGATAATTTTTTCAAACACAAAGATATAACATAAATGAAGGAAAAGGATAAATTGTCACTAAAAAGCAACAGAATAAATCTCCAACGAGTGTACGTAGGGGAAAGAACATATACAAATTATATGACAAAGAATTCAAATCATAAATATGTTCAACAAGACTTGATGAAATATGAAAAGGCACTAGAAAACTTGAAGACAAGTCATTTAAAAGTATCAGTCAGAGGAGAAAAAATATGAAGAAGAATGAAGAAGTGTAATGGATTTATGGAAAAACCATTAAGTGTTCTCATATACACATTATGAAAATAAAAGAACAGGAGAGCAAAAGGGAAAGAATGAAGATGGGGGTACAGCTCCAAACTCATTTTATGAGGTTAGTACTTCTCTACTAACAAAACTGGAAAAAGATAAAAGAAAATAAAACAGCAATCCAATATCCCTGGCGAACACAGATGCAAAAATCCTTCAGAAAACCAAATTTGCCAGCACATTATAGGAATTGTATATCATAGACAAGTGGAATTTATCCCCAGAATGTGTGAATATATGAATATCAGTTAATATGATACACCAAATTATGAAAATGAAAAATAAAAGATGACATGATCAACTCAATGGATACAGAGAAATCATTTGACAAAATTCAATACCTTTTCATGATAAAAACTCTCAGAATACTAGGAGTAGAAGAAAATTACTTCAACAAAATAAATACTATAAACAAACAGACCAAAGCCAACAATATACCCCATGTTGAAAAACTGAAAGTTGTTCCTATAAGATCAGGAAAAAGCAAGGATGCTCACTGTCACACCTCTACTCAAGATAGCATTAGAAACTGTATCCAGAGCAATTAGGTAAGAAAAAGAAATGAGGCATCTAAATTAGAAAGGAAATAGTAGAATTATCTCTCTTCACAAATTAAGTGTTTTTATATATAAAAAACATAAAGATTCCACATGCAAGAGAAAACCGTTAGAAATAATAAATGAATTCAGTAAAGTTGCAACATAAAAAATCAACATGTGAAAACAAGTAGTGACTCAAAACAGACAATGAAAAATACAAAAAGAAAATTAAGAAAACAACTGTATTTTCAACAGCATCAAAAGAATAAAATACTAAGGAATAAACTAAACCAAGGTAGTGAAAGACTCATACACTGAAAACTAGAAAACACTGATGAAAAAAAAAAAAACTAAGGAAGAACAAATAAATTAAAGAACATCCTTTATTAATGGATTGTAAGACATAATAATGTTAAAATGTTCATACGACCCAAAGATATCTACCAAGTCCTTGTGATCCTCATCAAAACCCTAGTTGCATTTTAAACAAAAATAGAAATAACAATCCTAAAAATTCATATGGATCCACAAAGGGCACCCAACATCCAAAACAATATTGAGAAAGAACAACAAAGCTGCAGACCTCACACTTTCTGAATCCAAAACATTAAAAATTAGAGTAATCAAAACAGCATGGAACTATCATAAGGGCAGAAACTTAGACCAATTTGGAAAAGAATAGTGAGTCTAGAAATAAACTCACACATATGCAATCAAATGATCTTTGACAAGGATGCCAAGACTACATATAGGGAAAGAATAATGTTTCAACAGATGGTGTTGGGAAAATTGGATATCCATGCAAAAGAATGAAATTGGATACCTACCTTACACCATATACAAAAATCAACTCAAAATTGATTAAAGATTTAAATGAAAAACCTGAAACCATAAAAGTCTTATCAACAAAACATGAAGGAAAATTTTCATAACATTCATAACTTTTTGGATATGACATTAAAAGCAGAGGGTATAACACAAGTGGTCAACAAATACATGAAAAATATTCAACATAATTAGCAATTAGGGAAATGTAAATCAAAACTACATATTTCATCTCACTCTAATCAGAATGGCAGTCATCAAGAAAACAAGTAATAATAAATGCTGGAGAGGATGCGGAGAAAAAGAAACACTTTTACATTGTCGGTGGGACCGTAAATTAGTAAAACCACTAAGGAAATCAATATGGAGGCTCCTCAAAAGACTAGACGCAGGGTGTGGTGGTGTACATCTGTAATCGCAGTGGCTAGGCAAGAGGATTGCAAGTTAAAAGTCAGCCTCAGCAACAGTGAGGCTGCAACATTAAGCAATTCAATGTTGCAACAGTTGCAACATTAAGCAACTCAGTGAGACTCTGTCTCTAAATAAAATACAAAACAGGGCTAGGGATGTGGCTCAGTGGTTGAGTGCCTCTGAGTTCACTCCCCTGTACAAAAGAAAAAAAAAAAAAAACTAGGCATTAAACCACCACATGAACAAGCTATACCCCTTCTTGGTATTTACCCTGAAGAATTAAAGACATCTTACCACAGTGATATATACATACCCATTTTTACAGCAGCACAATTCACTATTGCCAAACTATGGAACCAGCAGAGGGGTCCATCAATGGATGAATGGGTAAAGAAAATATGGTATATATACACAGTGGAGATTTATTCTGCCAGAAGGAAAAATGAAATTATGGCATTTGCAGCAAAATGGATGGAAATAGAGATCATCATGTTAAATGAAATAAGTCAAACTTGGAAGGTTAGGGCACATGTGTTTTCTCTCATTTGCAGAAGCTAGAGAGGAAAAGGAAAACAAATTTGGCGGTGGACCTCCAAAACATCAGAGGGAGATCAGTAGAAGAAACGGATCAAGGAGTGGGACAAAGGGAGGGAGTAAGAAATGCTGGGGAGTGATGTTGACTAAATTATATTGTTATGTTGTGTGCACAAATATGTAGCAACAAATCCCATCAATATGTATAACTATAATGTACCAAAAATAAGGAAATAAAAATAAAAACTTCATTTAAAAAAGGAAAAAAGCATAGGCTATAAAAGCAAAAAGAGACAAGTGGAATTAAGTCAAGAAAAAAGCTTTTGAATAGCAAAGGAACCCATCAATAAGAGTTAAAAGGCAATCTACATAATGGGAGAGAATACTTTAAAAGCTATATAACTAATTCAACTATTATCTCGAGTTACCTCGGCTCTTGCCACCACCACCATTAGATGCAGTAGCATACATTGAGGGACCCCAGCAGGATCTGGAAGCCCAACATCAAGGTGAAGTACAGACAATCTACCTGGGTACTACAAGAATATAGGGCAGAAACTGTAATATATCAGATCCACACTGCAAGAAAGGAAGACACATAGACAACATGAAAAACCAAGGGAGGAAAGTGTCCCAAACAAGCCAGGACACTATAATAACAGAACGCATGGGCAGCAAAGTTCATGAAATGTCAGAGAAGGAGTTCAGAAGGTTTATAATTAAATGATCTGTGAATTAAAGAATGACCTAAATGAACAAATACAGGCAAAAATTGATCACTCCAACCAAGATATAAGAGAGCAAATATAGGTAGCAAAAGATAATTTCAAGAAAGAGAGCCTCTGAAAATAAAATAAAATAAAAATCTTTGAAATGAAGGATACAATAAACCAAACAAAAAACTCAATAGAAATCATAACCAACAGACTAGATCACTTGGAAGAAAGAACGTCAGTTAATGAAGAAAAAGTATACAATCCAGAAAATAAAGTTGAACACACAGTGAAGACAGTAAGAAACCATGAACAGAACATCCAAGAATTATGGGACAGCATCAATAGACCAAATCTAAGAGTTATTGGGATAGAGGAAGGCACAGAGTTTCAAGCCAAAGGAATGTACAATCTCGTCAATGAGATAATATCAGAAAATTCCCCAAGAATGAAGAATGAATTGGAAAACCAAATACAAGAGGCTTACAGGACACCAAATGTTAAAAAAAAAATACAACATATCTACACCAAGGCACATTATAATGAAAATGCCTAGCATACAGAATAAGGATAGAATCTTAAAAGCTGCAAGAGAGTGGAATCAGATCACATAAAAGGGGGAGACCAGTGCGTATCTCAGCGGATTTTTCAACCCAGACCCTCAAAGCCAAGAGATCAAGGAACAATATATACCAAGCTCTGAAAGAAAATGGACGCCAACCAAGAATCTTATATCCAGCAAAATTAAGCTTTAGATTTCATGATGAAATTAAAAACCTTCCATGATAAACAAAAGTTAAAAGAATTTACAACTAGGCAGCC